AATTAAAAGTTTGACAAATAGAAGCCTTTTTCCCAAATCCAAAAGGGAGAATCTGCCCTTTTGATTTGAGACCTCATGCTTTGAGGTCTGGTTTTGTCTCTAATAATTTTTGGGCAAGACTTTTTGAAATTTTGTGCCAGGGAACTCAAGATTTAGACTAATTTCTTGTTGATCATTGTCTAGAGTTGTCCCTTGGTCATTTTGGATTTTGTTTCGGTAAGTTTTCAGATTTTCTTCAGGATTATTAACCTACAACACGTGTTTCATTTCTTCAATAGGATCGTTCCGAGCAGCTTTTGGAAGTTTAAGACTTCACCTTTGGCCTAGAGCATCCCTCAGTTTGAGGTAAGATTATTTCTAATGTTTGGGGCTCGATCTGTTTTTTTATACGAACATCGTTATAGGATCCTAAGCCGTAATTAGAAGCTCCTAGGCTATACTTAGAAGATCCTAGGTTGTAACTAGACAGCTCCTAGGCTATACTTAGAAGATTCTAGGCTATATCTAGACAGCTCCTAGGCTGTATTTAGAGATATTCTAGATTGCTCTCAGTTGGGGCTTTGGTAGCCTTCCTTCAGCAACCATCTTGGTACCACTCTGATTGAACCACGTTGAGTTCTACATTAGACAGATAAAACGTGGATAGGACTTCCATAGGACTTACCTACCATACCATAGTCTATCTACGGTGAGACCAAACATGTAGATAACCTCACTTTAGGAACTTCTGGATTTACACATACATTTGAAGATAACTAACACTTGTATACATGTAAGTAACACTTTTTATTATTTAGGCAAATCTTATATAAATCACTTGATACTGAATTACGTTCGGTAAGTGCCTCTTAAATAAAATTCTAGAATTTTACCCTGAGGTTGCCCTAACAATAATTTTCACCTTTCTGGTGTTAAATTTGCCTGTTGGTAGAGTGTAACCCATACTGTTTTTTATCATTCACAAGTGTAAAAAACAGTTAAAACTGTTTATTTAAAATGCATAATAATATATATTATTTACATTCATTTTTTTTTTATAATCAAATATTTATAAATTGGTACAAGCCATAATCTATACACATTTTTAACAACGTCCTGGCTATCCCTAATTAATATAGTAATTATTTTTAATAAAGAAAGCCAGATACATTTTTGTACCTAATTAGTTGTTTTATTGCTAAGCACTCCAATTGCACAGGTTTTGTTTATGACATCATTAAGTAATCTTCCTAGTTAAATCACAGTTAACTTGGTGGCGCCCAGAGATAAGATGTATACAAAGAATCCATAAACCCATGGCCTCCGAACTGATGCTGACTAGCCGTATGCAGTATAATTAGGCAATTGCCAAATAAGTACGTTATAGCCTACGTATTACCCAAGTGATTTTGTCATTCGAAACCACCGCGTTTATGATCATCTCGTTTTCCGTAACGGGGTCCAGTTGTCCGTGTTCGTCGGGCCACACTGTGATTTTGGCGGCGTCTATGATTTTATGTTTTGGAAAATGGGTTTCTAGTAGTAGTTTTGCAGTGTCTTCGGAAGTGACGGTTTGTGTACCGTCGCTTCTCCTAAAGCTACCTGGTTGCATTATAGGATCTTATGACAGAACTTTTTTGAGCCTAGAGGCAGTTGACGTGGTGGAGACCTCGTTGCAAGTTCTTTCAAGCTACCCTTTTCTTTTTTCTGAGCTTCGTTTTAAAAGTTTTCGAAGATGTTCTTTGTATACTAACCAGTTTTGAGTTGTTTTAGCCGCGTTGAAGGCTTTCCTCGCTATCCTCCTGATGAGTTTTTTTATCTCCCCATCCCTTGCTGGCTGGGCCACCATTGTTTTTTTGATGGGTTGAGAGTGGTCAGGCGGCTTCGAGGCGGGTGGCTGTTACGCTTCTGTTCAGAAAGCTCAAGCATTCCTCTACCTTTCCCAATTTGTTCGGAAATTGAGAAGAATTGCCCTTCGCTACCATTTCCGTTAGAGCACTAACACATTTTTTAGTGTTTGTTTTTCTAAACGGGACGATTTTTGGGGACTCAAACAGCAGTTTGAAGCAGCCACTTATGGTCGGACGTAGATATATCCGCAGACGTGCCAGCCTGCTATTTTGTCGCATATGTTTGTAGATATTAGAGTGAGGTCTGTTATTGTTTTATATCTAGGGGTTACAAAGCTGGGTTCGTTGCCTCTACTCACTATATCAAGGTTCTTGCTAAGTATTCAAGTAACGACTTACCTCTTTCGTTTGTGTCCTTGTTCCCCCACACTCCACACCGTATGATGTGCGTTGGAGTCAGAGCCGACGACCAGGGGCCTATTTCATAAAAATGAAGAGATAATGAGCAACGCGTGAAGAGTAAAAGTTGAGGAGTGAAAAGTAAATGTCGTTTTTGTTTCAAAATAAATTTGCGTCTACTCCATAGGTCTACTCCTCAAGGCTTCAAAACTTTTATGAAATGAAATGTAATATTGGAGTGCGTTCGAAAGTGCCCTAGTCGTGTCACCGAGTGCACACCAGCCATGAATTATTCATGGCTGGTGTGCACTCGGTGTGACGCCCAGGGTGATTTCGAACGCACTCTTTGGTACATTCAGGCGGCCCCAACGGCTAAGCTCAGCCACTCAGCAGGGACTTTATTCTCGAAACCAAGGAACAGCGTTCTCATAAGAACGATTGCTCTGTCATTGTCAGTGTTATGCCGGACGACAAAGACAGAACCTACGTTCCAATGAGAACGCTGCTCCCCTGTTTCGAGAATAAAGTTCCTGCTGAGTGGCTGAGCGTAGCCGCTGGGACCGCCTAAATGTACCCATTGTGTCACTTCTCACTCCTGAACTCTTCACGCCTTCTGTATTTAGTTGAACAGCTCTGTTCCTTAGCATGCATCTGATGATCCAGCCGATAATGATTGGGTCAACGTTGGATCTTATCAGAGCTATTTCTATACTGCTAAATAAGGTGAAAGTAACATCTAAATCAATCCCTGAGTGCCACCAGACATTAGAGACAGCGCAAGAGAATACAGCATGGTGTCGTGGATTATATGTTACAGTGGCAATCAAGGGAACGAAAGAGCAGATACCCTAGCACGAACTGAAGCGAGAGGGAAACTAATCGGTCCTGAGCCTTTTGTGACGTTGTCTAGCAAAATTATACACCTTAGAAGTCAAGAACACACCTACAGAACTCTTAGTGAGAGATGGGCGAGTCGGCGAGACATGACTTCAGGCATTTGAGTGCCGCTATCCGCGGCCCCCAAGCCGACTTGACAGAATATCTTCTTCAACTCGACGAGATGGCAGAACATATGCTGTGTTATTGCCCGGCTCTCGTGAATATAAGAGAGTCTTTTATGGGGAACCGGTAGCCTAGCCACCAATGGACACAATTAGAAGTTATTCTGCTGCCACACTATATGAATACTGTCGGCTGACTTGACGAATAACACTCTAACGGAAGATACAATGAGCCCACTAAAGAGGCCTAAGTACAAGGCGATTGGTGGATTACGACTACTGCGGATCCAGAAGGTCAAAAACAGCCGCTCTGCGAATTCCCATAAAGAGTGCTACGAGTTCTGCGACCATCCTCGAAGACGCAGAAAACGCAGTTGGCAGAATGGCAGTCAACAGGGAACAGGCAGTCATTCTTCTACTATCCATGACGTCCATTCAAAAGAAGAAGAGCCACGCAGACATGACGATAGATTGGGAAAGTCGGGAAGGCCGACCGGTCTTAGGCGCTGTGTTCAGGTTGCAGTCCACTTGGATAGGCATAGAGAAGTTAGACAAATGAATAGAGGGAGATGGAATCATTATGGATCTGAGTGAAGGTATATAGACGTAGAAGAGAAGGTGTTGCATCATGACAGTCAGATCAGTACGAGAAGCAGTGTTACGAAATTGCCTCGAGAGCCCGACCGCATTCTTGGAAATTCGTCGTTTACGTATGGGAGCACGACTTTTGTGGGAATTTTATCATATTCGATTCGATATTTTTCTAGATAGATCATCCAGAGTGCGATTTCGACGATTAATAGCGCGGTAGTAGTAAATATAAGGAAGTCAGCTTTTGTTGTGAGCAGTTTAAATAAGAGTGTGACTCTCAACTAAGCCATGCATTTTCGTATCATCGACGCAGATGACTGATGAGAATGAGAAAACAAGATCCTAAATAGTAGAAGGAAAAGCGGTCCGATGTGAGATCCTGCATGGGGACCCAAAGGTGCACTTATCCTGTTCCTGGAACTTTTATGTTTTTATCTGCCAGTCAGAGTCAGTTAGTAGTTTTCTGATATCCCAATTTTGAATGAGGATTAAGTGATGCATACTAGATATATTGGAGGTCCTGCTCGAGGCGTACTGTATACCTGTAAACTACATAGACGTGCTGATTCACTATAAAGCAGGTAGGGGAAGTCGATGAAGAGTTTCGTTTCCAACAGTAGTCCAGAGTAGCTGGTTAATTGCGATGATCTAATGCTTTCGAAAAATTAAATTAAAAACTCGTAACTCGATTCCTTTCGACCAGCTAAGTTAATTCAAATCCTAATGTGCAACGTTTTAGGTGAATCGTATCCCAATAGTGCATCAGATAAAATACTTGAATATTCATTATGAACTTAATTGATTGACTTGACTTGATGGAAACTTAGTTTGGGAACAAAACTTTGCAATTAGATTTTATGGTAATTACGCTGATGTCCATTGTACCTATAAGTGATTGAACAGATTTCCCGAAACTTTGAACCTACCCTTTAGAGGCGACTTCGAGCAATCTATATTTTAGTTACGACATAATTTATGGTAAAGTTAATGATTAAGCTTCAATATGCGGTTTCCAAGTTTTTAACTTCAATAATTTAGACCATAATAAGAGAAACCTATCGTCTATTTACATTTCACTCTTAGCAGTTAAATATAATAAAACCTCTCATTTAATTATATTACACTTTAAATTAGTGGACGTAATAGTGTGACGCTCCATCAGATTCTCAGCCTGTTTGGATATTGCCTTGCTCTCAGCATGACTGCCATCCAGCGAAAGTAACGCGTCAAGCCTCATTCTAAATTGATACAACTTCCGTTTTCCGGGTAATTTTAATTTTCTACCAGCAACATTGCTGCGGGTGTCAGTGTTGTTTGTTTTACATATTCCACTTTGACAGTTTAAATCAATTTTCGTTCACGAATCAAACTAAATAGTTTCTACAATGTTGGAAGATTTTGCCCGAGATTTCGAAGCCTTTTCCGGTAATTGGTGGACTTATTTTATTCCGTTTTGTGTGACCGTCATTGGGTTTATAAGGTAAATGAACAATTGCCTTTTCTCTTTTCCTCTTTGCAATAATTTTTGGCATGCACATTCTTAAGTGTTTAAATATTTTTTAGAGTTTATGCGGGCGGACCATATTATCAAGGCAAAGAAAGGATGGATGGAAAACTTGTTATAATTACTGGAAGTTCTTCTGGAATTGGTTTTGAAACAGCAAAAGATCTTGCATCGAGAGGTAATTATTATTATGTATTATTTTCCTACAAGTGTGGTGTGAGTGTGTGAGTTGATTGCTAAATGTACCTACTTCTGTTTCGATGATATTGGCGCGAGGTGTGGCGAAGAGGTCTAAGTTTGTTGTTTTTGAATCAGTCAATTGAAGTCTTGTATCATAGATAAGGTTGCAGTCAACACCACATTGTGTCTTTTTGTTTTAAGGAACTCTTTGCTTAGTATATTACCAGCACGATTTTCTCCCAAATAGATAGACAATAACGAGCTTAACAATCTGCTTATGGGAATTGGATAGGATTGGAGTAGTAGCACAGAATGCTATTGGGTATACAAGATCGAACATTATAGCGTACATATATTGTCTATCTTTTCGGGACAGAACCGTGCCGATATCCGGTGTTGTTTTTTTTTAATGAAAAATGGTAGGTACTGCTGGATAGATTGGGTGTTACTATAGATAGTGTCACGGCCCTGGTGTGCGTGACAGAAATCTGGGTTCGTTTATTCCAAAATCAAAGTCCAATTAAAACAACAATAATTTATTCCACGTTACTATACAGGGTGGAATTTTTAAATGGAATAAATTCAGTATCAGAAAGCCTGTTTATTTTCTGGATAAATAAAAAAAAAGGTCCCTTTATTTTCAGTTTGGCACATTTTTTTGGCCTTTTCATGGAATTTACCCCTCTCTTAAGGGTAGAAACCACCCCCAACTTTTTTTTTCAAATGTACAGATATGTATTGTGATAGCTCGTTGGAATGGGCATAAAAAAAGGAAAATGACCCATTATTTACTTTTGCATTTCGGTGATCTAGAAAGCGAGAAAAAAATTAAAACATATTTTTTCACACAATTTTTTTACAGTTAAAATCATTGAATATCTTCAGCATTTCTTCTTGGTAGAACCCTAATGCGAAACAAGCCCCATTTGTAACGTTATGTAATTATTTCTGACGTTAACACACTATTTGATGCCTGATACTCGGATTCTCAACCCTAAAATAGTGTGTTAATGTCAAAAATTATTTCATAACTAAATCATCAAAATGCAAAAGTATATAATGGGTCATATTCCTTTTTTTATGCCCATTCCAATGAGCTATCACAATACCTATCTTTATATTTGAAGAAAAAAAAAAAGTTGAGGGTGGTTTCCACCCCTAAGAGAGGGGTAAATTCCATGAAAAGGCCGAAAAAATTTGCCTAACTAAAAATAAAGAAACCCGTTTTTTTTTATTTTTCCAGAAAATAAACAGGCTTTCTTATACTAATTTTATTCCATTAAAAAATTCCACCCTGTATACTCTGATATTAATTACTTCACTAATTAACTCAACTTCTAAACTCTTTACAACTTTCAACAATAATCACTATCTAAATCGTATCACAGTCAATCCGAAACTAAAAAACTACAAACTGATACCGGCCTTTATATATCCGTGAATCTATTCATGTAAAATTCAGAATAAACGCGATAATCCCATGCCTGAATAAAACAGACTATTTCTGGAATTTTGGCCGTGGCGGAAGCGCATCGTAATTCGTGACACTGCCCTCCTCTTAAGGTTGATCGTCCCGATCAACTTCACGTCCATGATATTTCGTGAATCTGTCCAGATGTACCACTTTCATCTTAAGATACGGTTTGTTAGGATAGTACGCGACGCACAACTGACAACGTAAACGTCGTCATTGGTTCAGGTATGACGTACACCCGTCTTCTGACGTGAGAAAACGGGTGTACGTCATACCTATGGTCATACCTGAACCAATGACGACGTTTACGTTGTCAGTTGTGCGACGCGTACTCTCCTAACAAACCGTACCTTTAGGTACTCCTGTTGTTGCGCTGAACTCAATAAACCAAATCAAGAATCCTCTTGATTATTCTGTAGGGTCCTTTCCATGCTGAAAACAATTTCGGCGACACTGCTTTCTTTCTTGTTGGATTAAACAGCCACACCAAATCACCTTCTGGAAATCCGGCTGAACTGGCTTTCAAGTCGTATTTGGTCTTCATTCGGTCACTGGCCAACTGAATATGCTCCCGAGCAAAATCATGGATCCCCAGAAATCGTGCCCTTACTTCGTCGGCATAGCCTCGAATTTCTTTTCGTTCCTCAGGTATTCCAAACATCAGATCGCAAGGTAACCTGAGTTCCATTCCAAAAACGATTCTGCGCTGGACTTTCACCTGTTGATTCGTGAACTGCTGCTCTGTAAGCTATTAAAAATAGAGGCAAGTGTTTGTCCCAATCTCGCTGGTTCTTTGCGACCACTTTTGTCAGGTGTTCCTCTATGGCCCTAATGAATCATTCTACCATGCCATCAGACTGTGGATGTAAGGATGTTGTCCTGGTCTTACGAATACCCATGATCTCATTGATTAGAAGCTTCGTTTCTGATCTGAATGCAACTCCAGTGGCACACCATGACGACTAGTAACTTCGTCCACTATCACCTGGGTAATAGTGATGGCTTCTTGATTGGGAACAGCGAAAGCTTCTGGGCCATTTACTGAAGTAATCCATGATAACAAAGATGTATTTGTTACCAGGCTCTGACTCGGGGAACGGTCCGGTAACATATATCGCTATTCGTTCAAAGGGGAGACCGACGTTGTATTGCTTCATGGGCCCCCGAGATCCTAGTTGAGGGCTCTTGTTCGACACTTTCCTCCATTCTGGCCTACATTTATCATTTTTCTTAAGATGTAGCATTCGTCCGATGTCCTGATCTGGATCTGCTCTTATTTGTTTGGTAATCCATTTATCATCGGCGATAAGACCCGTTCTTCTCACAGCCGGACTAGTATTTTTCTCATGCATATCGATTCCTTGACAATGCTTGTAGTCTTCTTTGCATGGCCGTCTAGACAGAGCATCAGCATTTTTATGCAGGTTTCCAGGTCGATGTTTAATTTGGAAATCATATTGTTGCAATTTCTAAATCCATCTAGCAAGCTGTCCTTCGGGAGTTTTCATTTCTGAAAACCAATTTAGAGCCGCGTGATCTGTTCGAATTAGAAACTTACGGCCGTAGAGATACTTATGGAAATGGTCAACTTCTTTTACTGTGGCAAACAACTCTCTTCTGGTGACACAATAATTTCGTTCCGGCTTTGATAAGGTTCTGCTGTAGTACTCTACGACATGCTCTTGTGAATTTTGGATTTGTGAAAGGACAGCTCCAAGACAACATGCGTTTCTGATCGGGATAGGACAACACTGGGCTCGTACATAATGCTCCTTTTAATTTTCTGAAAGCGGAATCACATTATTGGGTCCAATTGAATGTTGATTTTTTTTCCGTCAATCGATGAAGCGGAGCAGCTATATTGGCGAAACCTTCTACAAATCTTCGATAATAAGAACATATTCCCAGAAAACTTCTTAGTTCATGTTTGCCGCGTGGTTTTGGCCAATCCCTGCGGGGCGGATGGTGCCCCTCAGAACGGCGCGGGAAGTCGATTGAAACGGCGCCGCGCCTGTCCAGCAAAAAAAAAAATTGAAAAGCACAAGCGTTCGACTTCTGCGCATACCCTTCCGTTGAGATGAATAGAGGCAAGGAAATTACTCTATTTGCCGATAATCAAAGCCACGCCGCTCGAAGGTCTGTTCTCACAAACCAGTCATAGCGTTTTTGATTGGTGCAAATCGCCAACAACCAGTTTTCTGACTATTTTCAACCAATGAAATTTGCTCTGACGGATTTGTGATTTCTGTGAGAACAGACCTACCTAGTATACGGAGACGAACTCTCTCGTCGCTCGTCTTTTCCTACTCCATTATACATGCAATTTGGAATGTTAAAAAGAGGCAGACGAACGCGAAGATACCTCAAAATAGAACATAGCAAACAATGCAACGTGCCATGAAACAGACTCTTTGGCCTAAATTTCAAATGTATCATTATCCGCATCGATCTGCGCATACGCAGAATAGATACGGTGGTTTGCGTTTCGTTGTCCGCATGGTTACGGGCCTAGCCTCGTATCCGAAAACGTATCTCCATCATTGGATAATTTTCCTGTCAGTTATCACTAAAATAACTTTAACAATACAGACACAGTAGATACTTAAATAATAAAAGAGAATCTACAGATACAGCTACAAAATCAACAAAACACTTTCTGAGGTTATAGAACGTTTCATCCGTTTCCGTATTACGTAATGTATGGCCATTCTTGAAAGGAGTTTTAGACGATCAACGTAAGTCTATGCGTTTACGTATGCGGATACGGATGCATAGGAAAATTTAGAATTTGCTTGAAGTGTCTATTAGAAATGGTATGAGCACTTCGGCGTACATACTCATGATTTATGAATCAAGACAAAACGACGAAACTACTCTCTTCGCCGAAAATCTGCGCCGCGCCCGTCTTTTTCTTCTCCATTATGCATGCAGTCTGGAATAATGATAAGAGGCAAACGAACGCGGAGATACTTCAAAACGGAACATAGCAAGCATTAATGCAACTTGCCATGAAACATGAAAGGAATGGTATGGGCGCTTACGTCCTGCGCATAAACTTATAATTTACAGATTTCCAGAATCTAGAGTTGAAAAGTTGCCAACTGCCAAATCAATTAATATATTAGCATTTGCCTTTTCTGCTTTTTCAATCATTTTCGTGACCTAGGAATTCCACTTTCTTTTGAAATAGAAAACATATTCGAATTGAGTTTTAAGTTGGCATTCCGGAAGTGCTCAAAAACTTCGTTCAGGTTATTGAGATGTTCTTGGAATGAATTTCCCATGATCATGACATCATCTAAATATAACAGGCAAGTTCTCCATGTGAGGCCCCGCAAAACTAGATGCATCGGTCGCTCAAACGTAGCAGGTGCATTACACAATCCGAAAGGCATTAGGCATTATATTGAACTGATATAACTCGCTTCCGGTACTAAAGGCAGTTTTCTCTTTGTCATCTTTGTGTATTGCCACTTGCCAGTATCCACTCTTAAGATCTAAGGTGGAAAACCATTTGAAGCCTG